CTCTTAGAAACTCGTTCCCTTCTTTTTCCTCACCATACATTGTCCGTAAATTGTTTGTCCTTTTATTTCGGACTTTCTCACCGCAACTTTTTCACCGGACTGTTTCACTGGACTAATTTACCGGACTTTTTTATTGGACTATTTCACCGGACTTTTTTACTGGACTATTTTCTTGGGCTTCTTCTCGCACTTCTTTCTCGGAATTTTTTTCTTGGACTTTATCCTACATTCTCTTTTATTTATTTACAAAGGATTATTGCATTTTTGCAGGAATGCCAATGGTGTATGTAGAAATATTGGGATGGATTTTCTCACAAAATGTATTTTAATTTGTTTCGTGTTGTTTAATTTATTGTTTAAGATTGTAATAGTCATAAAAAATAATAATTAAATGTTTCTAATTGCACTATTTTATTTTGGAAAATAAGGATACTTTGAATTACGCTTATGTAAATATTTTTTTAAGAAAATAACGGGCAACAAGCTCAAATATTTCTGATTTATTTTAAACCATTTTGTAAATATTTTTTGGTATTTCTCTCATTATTATTATAAAGGTTGAATTTTTTTGTTGCAGTAATGTATATTTATTAACAAAATTTTAATTTTTAAATTTTTTCCAGAATACAATGATGCCTCGTGGTTTTTTATTTCCTATACATGTTAAGAACGAAACTTCAGGCTGCGATAGCAATTATGGAGGTTGTAGAAAAATTGGAGGTTAGGCTTTTAAATAAATTATCGTTTATGTAAATGTTTAATTTATTTCATTTTATGTGATTAATATGTATGCGATAATGAAAGGGTTTATTTGTTTTCATGACATTTTTATTATTTTATCGTAATTGAAATTTGTAGATTTCCAAAATTTTTTATAATTATCCATTATATTAACTCTTCAATTTCAGGATCACTTTTCGTTTTTNGTTTATGTAAATGTTAAATTTATTTCATTTTATGTGATTAACATGTATGCGATAATGAAAGGGTTTATTTGTTTTCATGACATTTTTATTATTTTATTGTAATTGAAATTTGTAGATTTCCAAAATTTTTTATAATTATCCATTATATTAACTTTTCAATTTCAGGATCACTTTTCGTTTTTCATACAAGTTGTTTAAAGTTGAAGTTTTTATATTTCTTTTCAATAAATAAGAAAGAAATATATATTTTAGGTTTATATTAGAGATATAGGTTGTTCCAAATTAGGTTTGCGTATATCTGAAATGGACACAAAATTTTAATTGTTAAAAAAATTTATTTTTTATAAAAATATTTGTTTCTTTAGAAATCCTTGCCAAGATAGTAGTTTGTTCAATTTAATGTATGGGGCGTTTACAAATTTGGAAAAGACAAAACCGGTGAAGCGAAAAGTACCTTCAATTTTAATGCTACGTGAAAAAGTAATGGGGGAAAAATTGTTTGGAATAAAATATTATCTTTAAATATGAAAGCATGATCCTCTATTTAATACTTGACAATCTGGGAATTTCTAGGACTTTACTTATTCTTTCATACTTTTGGAGAAGTCGTTTTAATAAAAAAATATTGTTTTATTGAAAAACAGAGACACATGTTTGCATATTAATAATTAATTATTTTATTTAGAGGGATTAATAAGTTTCTTCGAAAGGATTAAAAAATAAGTAGTTTTATCAAAATCCAGAATGTTGAGTATTAAGTAGAGGTCCGTGCTTTCATATTTAAACATAATATTAAATTTCAAGGTACTTTTGCCCATTACTTTTTCACGTAGCGTTCAGATTTAAGGTATTTTACTCGTTAGTGTTTTTGCTTTTTCTAAATTTTTGAACGCTCTGCATATTAAATTGAACAAATTATAATCTCGTCAAGGGTTTCTGGACAATTAAAAATTTGTATGAAGAATTATTTTTTTTGACTATTGACATTTTGTGTCCATTTCAGGTATAGGCAACTCGAATTGGGGACACCTTGTATATTCATTATTTCTATTTTATTTGACAATTTCTATGAAATCGTGGAGGTGTATTTTCGACGATATAACCTCTTTTGTTGGAAGTTATTCAAAGAATAACTTCGTGAAATTACATTCCAATTTGAATTTATTAATTTAAAATAATTTTTTTCTACAAAACTGTTAAAAGTGGCCTTATTAATTGTCATTTTTAACATCAAAAATGACAATTAAAATTCCTTTTTAACAGTTTTGTAGAAAAAATTGTGTATGAAATACGTGTTAAGTGATTTTATTTTGTTTGTGAAGTTAAAAGACTCGTTGCGTTCGTTTTTTCATCATCGTATTTACATAAAAATATCGTATTTTTAACACGTACATCATAAATAGCTATTATTTTATCTACATATCACTTTTCTTTGTATTTCAAATTTTATCGAAAATAAAGTAGGTACTCATATCATTTTTCTTTTTCAGGAATTCCGCGTCTGCATAGGGATCTGCTAGTAGACGATGATTACGACCAGGCTCAACAATCGTATATTTTATCAATTTTGACAGTCGTATAGATAGATTCGTTTTGTTCGAAATTCTATCTATAGGGCGGTGTTTCCAGTATTATTGACTTTTATTTTTGTTGACTGTATATGAAATTTGGAAATGTCATTTTATTTAGAATTGTATTTTGTAGGTTTCATTATTTTCAATAAAGAATACAACTGGAACGAGTCACTATACACTATTTTACTAGAACAAAAGTTCATAAGAATAGCGTGTGGTGGCTAGTTTCCGTGTCGTAAACAGAATTCAACTTTTTATTCTTTCCTAAAATGAAAATAAAATAAAAGTGAAATCAAGCGAAAAAAATTTAATTATGGTCTAAAGATAAATTGATGGAAACGAAAATAAAATAGAACGAAGTAAAAAATATATCAAAAAGAAAATAAATAAATTAAAAAAGAAAATAACATTATTTGTCACATTTAAATAATGGAGAAAACCAAAGATATTTTCTGGGGCAAACAGTAATGAAAATACAATTTATAGAGAAAAGAAAAAATATTACAAATCAGATTGGTAAAAAAAATTCAAAGAAAAAAATTATTTCAATGAAATTGAAATAATGGACAAAAATGCATCTCCTTGGGAAAATGATTAATAAAAATAATTTTTATACAAAAATAAAGGAAAAAAAATTACAAACCAGATGGATTTTATAAAAAATATAAGAGAAAAGAAGTTATTCAATGAAATTGAAATAATGTACAAAAAGAATACATCTCCTTGGGACAATTATTAATAAAAATAGTTCATTTACAAAAATGAAGAAAAAAATATTACAAAGGAGATGGAAAAAAAAAATTATATAAAAAAAGAAAACTAGTCGTTTAATGAAATTCAAAAAATGGAGAAAAATAATACATCTTGGGAAAAATATTAATAAAAATAGTTTTTATAGAAAAATAAAGGGGAAAAAACATACAAAGCAGATGGATATAAAAAAAAAAATTAAAACAAAATTCAAAAAAGAAAATAAGTAATTTAATGAAATTGAAAACATTATTCATAAAAATATTTTTTATAGAAAATTAAAGATAAAAAAATCGCAATGTAAAAAAAATATTTGAAAATAAGAAATACATCACATTTCAATAATGTAGAAAAATAATTATATCTTCTTGGGAAAATGATTAATAAAAATAGATTATATACAAAAATAGAGAAAAAAATTATTATCAAGGAGATGGATAAAAAAATTATAAAAAAAACAAAATGTTATTAAATGAAATTGAAAAAATTGAGAAAAAGAATATATCCTTGGGAAATAATTAAAAAAAATATTTCTGTTCAAGAATTAAGAAAAAATAATTACAATGAAATGGGCATATAAAAAAATTGTAAAAAAATATAAGTATTTAATGAAATTGAAAAAATTTAGAAAAAGAATACATCTCCTTGGGCATACAATTCATAAAAATATTTTCGATGGAAAATTAAAGAAAAAAAATATTACAATGCAGATGGACATTAAAAAATTTTAACAGAAAATAAGTAATAAATTACATTTAAATAATGTACAAAAATACTTATATCTCCTTGGGAAAATGATTAATAAAAATAGTTTTCATGAAAAAATTAAAGGAAACAAATATTACAAATCAAATGGGGATAAAAATTTTTTTAAAAAATTACTCATTAAATGAAATTGAAATAATGGAGAAAAATAATTACATCTCTTTTGAATTAATGATTTCAAAAATTGTGTTTATCAAAAAATTTAAGGAAAAAATATGACAAATCTAATGGATATAAGAGAAATACGAAAAAGAAGGTAAGTAATAATGAAAGTACATACAAAGAAGGGAGAAAAATAATTATATCTTCTTGGGAAAATTATTGAAATAAATATTTTCTATAGAAAAATAATGAACAAAAAAAAATTTTACAGTGCAGATGGGCAAAAGAGTATTAAAAAAATATGAGTAATTAAATCACATTCAAATAATGGAGAAAAAGAATTGCATCTCCTTGGGAAAATGATTAATAAAAATAGTTTTTATAAAAAAATTCAAAGAAAATAATTAGAGATGGATAAAAAAATATATTAAAATAAAAAAAGTTATTAAATAATATTTAAATAATGGAGAAAAAGAATTACATCTCTTTTGAATGAATGATTTAAAACGTGTTTACGAATAAATAAATGGAAAAAAATATTACAAATTAAATGGATATAAGAGAAATAGGAAAGAGAAGGTAAGTAATAATGAAAGTACATACAAAGAAGGGAGAAAAATAATTATATCTTCTTGGGAAAATTATTGATATCAATGTTTTCTATAGAAAAATAATCAAGTAAAAAAATTGTACAGTGCAGATGGATACAAAAATATTTAAAAAAATTAGTAATTAAATCACATTAAAATAATGGAGAAAAAGAATTACATCTCTTTGGGAAAATTATTAATAAAAATAGTTTTTATTAAAAAATTAAAAGAAAATAATTAGATGGATAAAAAAATTGATTAAAATAAAAAATTTCATTAAATTATATTTAGATAATGGAGAAAAAGAATTACATCTCTTTTCAATTAATGATTTAAAATATTGTGTTTACGAATTAATAAAAGGAAAAAAATATTACAAATTAAATGGATATAAGAGAAATAGGAAAATGAAGGTAAGTAATAAAGAAAGTACATACAAAGAAGGGAGAAAAATAATTATATCTCCTTGGGAAAATTATTGATAGTAATATTTTCCATAGAAAAATCCAAAAAACAAAATTATACAATGCATATGGATAAAAAAATTTTAAAAAAAGATAATCGTATTGAAATCACTTTAAAATAATGGACAAAAAGAATTACATCTCCTTGGGAAAATGATTAATAAAAATAGTTTTTACGAAAAAATTAAAATAAAAAAAATTTGAGATGCATAAAAAAATATATTCAAAGAAAAAAAAAGGAATTCAATTCTATTTAAATAACGGACAAAAATAATTACATCTCCTTGGGTAAATGATTAATAGAAATAGTTTTTACGAAAAAATTTAAATAAAAAAAATTTGATGGATAAAAGAAATATATTACAAGAAAAAAGAGGAATTAAATCATATTTAAATAATGGACAAAAATAATTACATCTCCTTGGGAAAATGATTAATAAAAACAGTTTTTACGAAATAATTAAAATAAAAAAAATTTGAGATGGATAAAAAAAATGTAATAAAACAAAAAGAGTCATTAAATTATATTTAAATAATGGAGAAAAAGAAAGACATCTCTTTGGGAAAATGATTAATAAAAATAGTTTTTACGAAAAAATAAAAATAAAAATAAAAAAAGTAGAGATGTAAAAAAAAAATTATTAAAAGAAAAAAGTAATTAAATTATATTTAAATAATGGAGAAAAAGAATTATATCTCTGGGAAAATGAATAATAATTATAGTTTTTACGAAAAAACTAAAAGAAAAAAAATAAGAGATGGATAAAAATAATATTAAAAGAAAAAAAGGAATTTAATCATATTGAAATAATGGGGAAAAAGAATCTCTTTGGGAAAATGAATAATAATAATGTGTTCACAGATAAATAAAGGAAAAAAAAATATTACAAATCAGATGTATATAAAAAAAATATTAAAAAGAACGTAAGTAATTAAAGAACATACAAAGGTAGAAAATTAATTATATCTTTTATTTTGGCGGATGTTACAGTATTTTGGTATTTTTGCCGGATCTTAAGTTAGTCCGGTATTTTTGCCGGACCTGAGGTGAGTCCGGAATTTTTGTCGGATCTGAGGTTAGGCCGGTATTTTTGCCGGAGTCCGGTTTTTTGCCGGTCTGGTTTTTTGCCGGTTATGTTTTTTTGCCGTTCCGCTTATTTGCCGGTTCGCTTATTTGCCGGTCTGGTATTTTTGCCGGTCCGGCATTTTTGTCGGTCCGGTCTTTTTGCCGGTCCGGTATATTTGCCGGTCCGGTGTTTTTTCGGTCCGGTATTTTTGCCGGTCCGGTTTTTCTGCCGGTCCGGTATTTTTGCTGGTTCTGTTTTATTTGCGGGTCCGGTATTTTTGCCGCTCCGGTTTTTTTGCAGGTTCGGTAATTTTGCCGTTTCGATTTTTTTGCCGGTCCGGTAATTTTGCCGGTCCGGTATTTTAGCCGGTCCGTTAATTTTGCCTGTCCGGTATTTTTGCCGGTCCGGTATTTTTGCCGGTCCTGTTTTTTTGCCGGTCCGGTAATTTTGCCGGTCCGGTATTTTTGCCGGTCCGGTAAATTTTTCGGTCCGGTAATTTTGCCGGTCCGGTTTTTTTGCCGGTCCGGTATTTTTGCCGGTCCGGTATTTATGTCGGTTCGCTATTTTTGCCGGTCCGGTAGTTTTGCCGGGGCGGTATGTTTGCAGGTCCGGTTTTTCTGCCGGTCCGCAATTTTTGCTGGTCCGGTATTTTTGCCGCTCCGGTTTTTTTTGCCGGTCCGGTATTTTTGCCGGTCCCTTAATTCTGCCGGTCCGGTAATTTTGTCGGTCCGGTAATTTTGCCGGTCCGGTAGTTTTGTCGGTTTCGTGAGGTTTGATGTTTTTTTTGCAATTACGTGAGATTAGATGTGTTTTTTTGCAATTACGTGAGGTTAGAGGTGTTTTTGTTGTAATAACGTGAGGTTTGATGTGTTTTTTTAAATTACGTGAGGTTTGATGTGTTTTTTGCAATTACGTGAGGTTTGACTTGTTTTTTGAAATTAGGTTAGGTTAGGTTAGGTTAGGTTAGGTTAGGTTAGGTTAGGTTAGGTTAGGTTAGGTTAGGTTAGGTTAGGTTAGGTTAGGTTAGGTTAGGTTAGGTTAGGTTAGGTTAGGTTAGGTTAGGTTAGGTTAGGTTAGGTTAGGTTAGGTTAGGTTAGGTTAGGTTAGGTTAGGTTAGGTTAGGTTAGGTTAGGTTAGGTTAGGTTAGGTTAGGTTAGGTTAGGTTAGGTTAGGTTAGGTTAGGTTAGGTTAGGTTAGGTTAGGTTAGGTTAGGTTAGGTTAGGTTAGGTTAGGTTAGGTTAGGTTAGGTTAGGTTAGGTTAGGTTAGGTTAGGTTAGGTTAGGTTAGGTTAGGTTAGGTTAGGTTAGGTTAGGTTAGGTTAGGTTAGGTTAGGTTAGGTTAGGTTAGGTTAGGTTAGGTTAGGTTAGGTTAGGTTAGGTTAGGTTAGGTTAGGTTAGGTTAGGTTAGGTTAGGTTAGGTTAGGTTAGGTTAGGTTAGGTTAGGTTAGGTTAGGTTAGGTTAGGTTAGGTTAGGTTAGGTTAGGTTAGGTTAGGTTAGGTTAGGTTAG